GGGGTGGGGGAGCCAACAGGTGCAAGGAGGGGAGGAGTGAATGTCTGGTCTAGATAGGAAAGCAGGTGAGTCTGGCCTCGGACCTGAAGAAGGGCTCAGTCCCCACAGGTCCTAGAGCCCAGGTGGGGGCAAATCTCCCAGGCTGGGTAGGGTGGCCTCCCCAGGTTACCTGGCAACTGGGCCCTGGGAATTCAGTTCAGCCTTTACTGAACACCTACTAGATGCTGGCTCCTGTGTAAGGCCTCGGCAACAGGGGCCAGAAACTCAGGCTTGGTATCCAGGACAGAAAAATAAATGTCACGTAATAATAGTTATAATAAAGTAGTAATAAACTCTAAATCACTCATTCTCTAAGTGCCCATATTTTCTGAATGCCAAATCAGCCTATGTGGGGTGATTAGTCTGGGTGTACTCTGTGATCAACAGAATAAAATATTTGAAGCTGTGTGGTCACTGAACCTGTGAAACCCAAAGCCCAAGAGGAGAAGAGGAGGCTTTAGATCCTGGGGGCCCAGGGAGCTGCTGAGAGCAAGGAGGGAGCCCAGGGGCAGCCATCTGTGTCAGGCTCTGTTTCCTAGGATTTCCCGTTTGACAAAATTAAAAGGGTCGAGCTCCCCAAGTCTCTCTAAAGAGCCCTTACTACCTTCTGTTTTATAGGCAAGGAAACTGAGGCGCAGAGAGACTTCAGATAAGCGTCAGAGCCCAGATTCAGACCTCAAGGGGTCTGACTCCACAGGCTGGGCTTTGTCATTCTGCCAGGCTGGGGATGGAGTGTGACCGGGACCCCAGGTCTGGGGCTGTGGGTGGGCAGTGAGCTGATGAGAGGGAGCCCTAAGATTGGACTCCCCTGAACCTCACATCTCCACCAGGTAGGCACAAGGCTCAGGCCACATGGCTGTGCAAGTGTGGAGAAGAGGAGAGATGACAGAGGCTGGCATGTTGACATTTACCCCCTCAGTTGCTACGGTAATATGCTATTTATTGGAGCACCTTGGCCTAGAAGTAGGTACAACAGGGTGTCCCCAAGCCTCTGAGGGCAGGTGAGGAGCTGAGTCCTCCTCACCTCCCTGCTTCCCTGACCCCATCGGGGAGAGGCCTATAGCTGGTGCTCACACCTTCGTGGTGGCTGTTTTATGCTCAGTCTTTTCCCAGTGGTGACTTGGGAAGTTCCCACTCCTCTGGCTTCTGTTCTCTCTCAGGGAGCAGCTTGTCTTCTTGATCCTGCCCCTTCTTTATTGCAAGGGATTCTCTCTAAGGAGAGGCTGGGCTGGGCTGGGTGTGGGTTCCTCCTTGGGGCTGTGGCCCAGGAAGACCCAGGGAAGTGGACCGGGGACAGGTGTCTCTTGTGCTTAGCCGGCTCCCAACCTGAGGGACAGATAAGCTGTGGGGGTGCCATGGCTGCAGGCTCCTGAGCACACCTCCAGGGCAGGGGCGTAGCCAAAAGGTGCTTCTGTCCTCATCCTAGGAACCGGTCCATATGCTCTGAGCACACGTAGGGCTTTGGGACCAGACCTCACCCAGAGGTCCCCTCGGGAGTCACGGCTGGGCAGCCTGCCCCTCCCCACCCCACTCCTGTCTCCCCCATCTTTGCACCTCTAAACTTGACACTGTCAGTGGCACCCTGCCCCTGGCCCACCATGCTTTCGTGATGGGATGGGGGACTGACATACCAGTCAGAACCCCTGGGCCTACGTCCCACACCTTCCTGGCTCCTTGTCCTTGGGTAAGTCACCTCACCCCTCCGGCCTCGGCTTTCCTGTGCCTTTGTCACAGAACTACGGTGAGTGCCACAGTTAAGGAGCCTTGGAGCCACAATGTGGGCCAAATGCTAGCAGTGTCCCTCTATCCTTCATATAAGGTCCCATTGTCACCAAAGCAAATGACACCACCCACTCTCCTTCCCCTCTCCCACACACATGTTAGCTCAAACGAATCACACAAGATGGCGTGTTGATACTATAAACTTTTAATTGGTATCCTCCTCCCTACATTTGAGTGAAAAACAAGGATGCCCCAAAATGACCTTCTTCAGCTTTGGAGGGACATGGGCAGAAGGAAGGGCTGAGGAGGGACTGGCGGGGGCAGATGTAGAACTGACAATGGGTTTTCCAAATCCTTTATCTAGCGGTGGGGTGGCTGGACCTGCACAGGAAGTCCAGAAACAAAAATCACCAACAAGCTGCCACACCCCCAAACCTGCCACCCCGGGCCTCACCTAGACCCTCCCTCCAGGTCCCTGCAGCTCCTGAGGCCACCACCAGGTGGGAGCATTGAGCAGCACGCCTTCCCTGCCCAAGCCTGCCTCCAGTTTTCATTCCTCCACCAACCCCTTCTCTGCCTGCTTTCCCTCTCCCTTTCTTTCTCTTCCTACCAAAACAGATCCTGGGGCTTCTATCTGCTTTATGTCCAAGGAAGCCAGTGGCAGATGAAAGCACACTGTCAAAAGGGACCATCTGACAGCTGGGAGGGTCAGCCAAGGGTCCTCTTCCTGGGAACACCGGGATCTGGACATTTGTGTTCAGTCACTAGGAGCTGGGCAGTGACTAACAGCTCTCTGTGGTCCTAACACCTGGCACCCAGTACATGTTCAGAAAAATGTCCGTTGAGTTGGACTGAACAGAACTGAATAAAAAAAATCAACAATCAATAAACCAATAAAGCCAAAAAGATGAAACATAAGAAAAATGTTTTCTCTTGGTGCCGTGGTGGCTTCAGAGGCCGCTGGGCTAACTTGACCGAAGCTCAGGCTGACCACCACCCAAGGGTACCTGCCCAGCTGCCTCCACTCAGGGCACGTTGTGTGCTGGGCTGGACCATGCCTCCTGCTCCCCAATTCCCACCACCCTGAACACGGAGCTGTCTCTGCTCACAGTGGTCTAGGGGGCCATGGGGAATCTGTCTGATGAGTCCCTGGACCCTCCTTTCTCTCCCCACCTACGCCTTTTGCAAAGCAATTCATTCCATGATTCCTGTGACCACCTTGCAGCCACCACTGTCTAGAACACTGGCTGGGAGACTGGCTGGGGGTAGCTGGCTGGGAGAGCCAGGGGAGAGAGGTGGCCAGCAAAGAGAGGATAATAATGCCCCAGCAGACTGGTTGGTCATCAGGAATAACTTGCAGGTGTCTATGGACGTCTCCTTTTGTGCCCCTCAGCTAAAAAGATACGGACCCCTTATTGAACCCAAAGAGTAGAAGTTGGTCTAAGACTTTCTGGTGGCTTTTTCCTGATGCCCGGATTATGGGTCTCTGCCGGCCTAAGACTGTCGAATCTGAGCTTGCCCAGTTTGTTAACTGAGGGGTGTCAGGGTAGATAGGCAGGAGAGAGGGCCAGGGAAGGGGTGGGGTGGGAGGGGGGGGGCTTCAGTGTGAGCCCAGGAACTCCTTGAGGACGTCGCAGGTCTTCTTGTGCACCACCTCGCGCAGCTTCCTAACCCGCCGGGTACTGGACGCTCCCACGAAGCTATCGGGCCGCAGCATGGCCATGCCGCCATCCACCTCCCCCATGATGATGAGCGGCGTCTCTCCCACCGTCACGTTGGGGCAGGGGCAGGTCCAGTCCACATGGAGCAGAGTGATCTCTAGTGGCTCCCGGCCCAGGAACTTGAGGCCCATCTTCTCATCCTTCAGGACCTCGTCCACAGTCACCAGGGCACGACCCGAGTCGGGCTCCTCGGTCAGCTCGGAGACGCGGCCCAAGATGACAAAGTCGCTCCGACAGAAACTGGTCACGAGCTTCTGCCTTGGCTTGCAGGCCCGGCAGTGCTGGTTCCCCCGAGGGAAGGGACAGGACTCCTCGCAGGCCTCACGGCTCTCAAAGTTGTTGCCGTTGCCCTCACAACCGCCGTAGACAAAGGACTGGCACTGGCCCGTCTGGCTGTTGTAGGCCCAGCGTGGCGCGTAGGCCTTACAGGGCCCCTGCAGGGTGGGCAGGCTGCACACGGCCAGCGGCCCACTCATGCAGGCCAGCATGCAGGCCTCATAGGTCTCAAAGTGGTTGCGGTTGCGGTGACAGTGGCCAAAGGTGAAGGTGAGGCAGTTGTTGGCCTGGGTGTCGAAGTGCCAGCGTGTCTGCTCCTCACCGCAGTCCTCACTGTCGGGGGGCTTCAGGCACTCGGCCACGGGGAAAGCCGTGCCATTGGGGCTGCTCTCCGCGGTGGCTGCAGCCTGCCCTGCCCTGACCACCGACAGCGGGAAGTCAGCGCGTAGGACTCCAGCAGCATTCCGGGCCGTGCAGGTATAGATGCCGGCATCCTGGAGCTGGGCGTTGTAGATGACCAGCTGGGCAATGTTGGTGACCACCACGTTGCCACGCACATGGTTGGGCCTCATGACCACATTCTCCCGATCCTCCAGCTGCTTCTCCCAGGTGATCTCAGGCCGGGGCCTGCCCACCACGTCACAGAGGAAGCTCACCGTCTCGCCCACGGTAACCGACTGGTGCACAGGGTGGTTGAGCAAAGCTGGGGCCGCCATGTCCAGCCCAGGGGTCTCCAGAAAAGCCGTGGTGGGGTGCACAGTGGTCTCAGGGGGTGGGGGGCTCGTGTTGGGCCAGGTGAAGTGATAGCGACAGGTGACAACGGCCAGCGTGATGCCCTTGGAGCAGGCCTCGGCGTCCATGTAGCAGCGGTTATAGTAGGTGAGGCCGTCCGAGGCACAGGTAAAACTGGGCTCCTTCTCACAGCGATCTTTGCACTTACACACGGGTTGGCCGTCCCAGATGTCACACTCAGAGCCCTGCTGCAGACACATAAAGTGGTCACACGTGGCCTCCTTGGGCATGCCCACCGGGCCCTTCTTCCCTTTCACGTCCATGTAGCGGGCTGCCACACAGCTCTTGGTCCCGCACACGTTGGGGCAGCACTTCTCATAGGTCTCACACTCCTGGAGAGAGCCAAACAGAGAGGGCTGAATAAGGAAGTGGAGGGAGAGAGGGCAGGCTGCCCCCACCTTACCCCATGGTTGCTGCAGAAGGGAGCTAATATGTGCTCCCCTATCATAAGCAAAACATTTTGGTAATAATAATAGCTACGTATACAGAGCACCTACTACTTGCCAGGCCTTTTTCTAAGACCGTTTACATCTGTCAACTTATCTAGTGCTCATCACAAGCCTATGAGGTGGCTATACCATTATATCCACCTCAGAGATGACGATAACCGATGCACAGAGAAATTAGGTAACTTGCCCAAGGTCACACAGCCAGTAGTGTGGGAAGAGACAGGCCACATCCCTCTCAGAGGGGAAGTTTTCTTACTACAAGTTTATAGATGAGACTGCAGGGCGTCCGAGAGGTGACGCCAAGTACCCAGGGCTGGGACATGGTGGAAAAGGGCTTCAAGCTCCGGGGGGATGGAATTCTGAAATGAGGTTTTTTTCCTTCTACATCATATAGTGACCACCAATGAGGTCTAGGTAGGAACAAATGCATTTTTGTCTTTTTTTCTACTGCGGTGAGAATGCCTTGGCTGAATCGAAGAGGTCACCCCAAACGCTGAGAAGGAAAAGTGCGACACTGCTGGGACAGTTGTTCAAAGCTGTTCACATACACACAAGGAGTAGGGGCTCTGATGAGGGCCACACGCGTCCACAGCCGAGAGGAGGGGCAGGCGGGACAGGCCCAGGCCGCCAGGTCTCACCACCATGGGCTGTGCCAGACCTCGGTGCCCAATTCCAATGTGGGGGACATTTCATGGGGAAATCAACAAGGGAAACAGTTCCCTTGTGTGGCAAAGATCAGCAAGGCCGTCAGCGAGGACTTACCAGGCTGTAATTCCCTCCGATTCTCTGTGGAGCCACGTACGGCATTAGTTTAATTCCTCGAAATTAGCAGCATGCTCAGGGGCCGATACAAACAAGGATTTCACGTGGTGTTTTCGACAATAACACATCATACCCACTGGGCTGGCAGGCACCGCTCCTAATCCCCTGCCCTGGTAGTAGCTCTGTGAATTACTCCCCACGAAGGCCGGCCTCTTGTGGCTCCGACTTTCCTTTCAGCCTCTGACATTCCACATCAGCTAACCGGGGAAAGATCCCCCACCCGTGCTGTGCCGGCCGGCCTGCTCCACTTGTTTACTGTTTTCCCCTCTCGGCTCAGAATGGGGACTTTGTTTTGCAGCCCTTGCTTGGCATAGGCTTCCAGGCCACACCAGGGGAGTGTTTGGGACAGGGATGGGCAGATCTCAGCGCTGGGTGGGGTCTGAGGGAGAGAGAGGAGTCAGAGGAACTGGGAGCAGGCAGGAGAGCCTGCTTCTCAGCCTGAGGGTCATTTGATTCCCTAAGATACTCAGGCCCAAAGTTCCTCAGGACTCAGAGGTCCATGAGAGGCTGGGTCCTCAGCGACCAGGGGGAGGTATTTCTGGGCACAGGAAGCTTAGCAGGAATCCTTAGAACAGTCTTCCTTAAGGGCCCAGAGTGTACCCATATGTTTTCTGAATCCCCAGCCCCACGCAGGTGCCTTCTCCCCAAGACACAGTAAATCAGCGGGAGTCTCACTGTCCCCAAGATCCACCTGATTTATCAGACCAGCCTACGTCAGTGAACCAGCCTTCCCTGCAAATGTAGCCAATTCACCATAAGACCTCTGCCACCCACCCCTTCACATTCCTTAGCTCCCTTTCTCTCTGCACCACCACTGCTCACTGGCAGCGTCTGGCCTGAGAAGCCTGAGAATTGTCCCCTGGGCAATTCTGTGAGGCAGCGTCCACTCTCTCCAGGGCGATCCTGTGCTCTCCCGCAGGTTATGTGAATTTGGCAGAGAAAGCACCAGGGTTTCTCATGCTCCCTGGTGATGCCCAGCCCAGCCCTGAGCCCCAAGAGCTGGCCAGGCTGGCAGGAAGTGCCTCTGCTCAGGCAGGCTCCAGGTACCAGCCAGCTCTTCACCGCTGGGGGCAGTGGCAGGCACAGTCCTTGGACTGGGGAGCTGGGAGAGAACTGAGCGCACACCAGGCCTGCCCCGCTTGCTGCTGGAGGCTCTGATAAGAGCGGAAAGGGGAACCGAGAAACCTGGCAGCTTAAAATTTAATCCACTTCCCTCCCAGGGACGCGAGAGTCTATTGAGAGCTGTTCCTGCCAGCCCTCCTGGCCAGCCTGGTCTGCTCTCAGGGTCAGGGCCAAACCCCTGGGGAGGTGGCCTAGAGGCCAGGTGAAGCCATAGCTTTGTTGTCAGACAGCCCTGGGTTCCAAGCTACCCCTCCCATCCCTGGCTGTGGGTCTTTGTGCTGTTCACCGTTCACTGTACTGTCATGCGTGTCTGCTCTCACCTGTCAGGAGGCTACTGACACATGCACCTGGCATAGTCCTGGCTCAGAGCAGCCCTCAGCAAACATGAGACCAGGAATTCAAGGCTCCCCAGTCCCCGATGACCTTGGACATCACACCCACCTGTCTTGCTGGGCCTCAGAGTTAAACAGACATCACACCCTGTTTATCTCCATGTGGCCCTGCGGCCCGAATGCCTTCACCCTGGGCCCTGCCCAGCACCCGCCGTCCCCACTCCCCGCTCCCACTCTTCATCACCAGCACACTCACGTGGTCCTCTCAGGCTGCCGGTGTCCCACTCACCTGGTCCGTCTCACACTCCCGCCTGCAGGTGCTCTGGGCATCCACCCAGAGGTTGGGGTTCATGTCGTTGGGGCAGATGCCAGCATGGGAATAGCGGATGGGCGGCAGTGCCAGGCCTCTCGGCGGGAACCCGAGCAGCAGCAGCAGCGCTGCCACCTGCCCCCAGTGGGACCAGAACCGGTGGCACCCCAGGGCCCACATGGTGCGATCTGCAGCGGCCAGAGACCTCCCCTGCAACACCACCAGGGGCTGGGCCCACTAGGGCCTTCTTCTTCTCAGGGGCTGCAGACACCTGCCCTTGGCCCCCCAGCAGGCTCCCTGCTCCCTGCTGCTGGTAAGGCTGCGGCTGCCGTGACTGCCTCCACCAAGCCAGTGGAGCCGGCTGGGCTGTGCGGCTTCAGAGAAAAGAAAGGTCTTTGCAAGGAAACCCCCTCCCCTGAGTGTACGGGGAGAGGAGCCGCAGCAGGGGCCCCGAGCCTGGATTTATATCCTGGGCGCCACCCGAGTGGGAGCGAGCTAACCTGATGCCTGTCACAGGCAGGCTGCTGGCTCCTCTGTCCCGGGGCTGATCACAGACTTGTTGCAGAAGGGGAAAAAAAAAGCTGGAAGCAGTTTAGGCGGCGTATCTGGCACGGTGGGACACCTGCTTGTTTTTGACTCCAGGAGGCCTTTAACCCCTTCAAGGGCCAGAAATGGCATGTGCTTTGGGGGGAGCTGGCTCCAGGACACGCAAGCTCACTGTAAAGGAGCAGTTTGTTTCCCTTTCCCCCACCTCCTCGGGCCGGGCCCCCTCCTCCCCTTGGCCACCTCTGAAGAACACACAATCGCTTGTTACAAGGAGGGACCTGCAGGCGCTGGGTTAGCATCGCCAGGCCCGATAGTACATTTGAGAGCAAATGACGTGGAAAAACAACAAGTTCACGGCCATTCCAGGGCGGGCCTGAGCAGCGGCCGTGGCTGTGCTGTGTAAGCCGACTCCCACCCCAGCACCAGGTTCCTTTGTGGGGGGTGTGTGCACGGACAGCTCCCTATCTCTCTGTCCCGGGCAGCTTGTGTCTCAAGTTCCAACTTTGGTGAATTTTCCCCAAATCATTCCAGACACACATACCAGATATGCTCCGGCTCCCCGGCTGCTGGGACGTATCACATTCCTCACTCCTCCATTGACACACTCATGGCTCCAAGAAAACCTACGTGGTAACAGTGTCTCAGGGCGGCGCTGGGCAGCCGAGCTGCCCTCACTAATGACTTGGTGGCTGCATTCAGTGAGCTCTTTCGGGGTGCCAGGCACTTTTCAGTTGTCTCGTTTCCCCCCACTTTACAAAGGAGAAGGTTCACACCCAGAGAGAGTGCGATACTTGTCCAAGGTCATCCACAGGAAGCAGTGACAGCAATGCTAATTGGCTCTTCATAAGTGCCAGGCTCTCCATCCACATCTCATTTAATCCTCACAACAAACTACCTACATTTCAGATTTAAGGAAAGGACGCACAGAGAGGCTAAGCAACTCGCCCATGTCACACAGCTACATGACTCCACCATTAATATGGGAAACAGGGACACCAGCATGTGGTGTGCAGGTAGGGGCCTCTTGGAAACCACTCTGTCCACCCGCATCTGTCAGTCCTGCTGTCAAAGTGCATCCCAAACTCTGGTTTTTACAGGCTGGACCAGAAGTTTGTGAAACCTCAGGGTCTATATTTGTGGAGGGGGCTGGGGAAAGAGCCAGAAGCTGCTGGGGATGGGGCGATTCCTCTCCCGCTTGGCAGGAAATGGCTCCTATCTAAAATGCCACCGAAAATTGAACAGGCTGAGTGTTTTTGCTTTGATCACTTGATCTCCAGGGGGTTGATCCCTGGAAGAGAGAAGCACCTTTTCAAGGTTAAGCCATAAAGGATTTGGGGAACAGCATCTGAGCTACTGTGTCCCAAGGATGGTGCATGGGGTGGGCACAGCACATGTCAGAGCCAGTAGGTCATTGAAGGTCCCCAGCAGTGCTCTCATTTTGCAGATGGGGAAACTGAGTGCTGAACCCAGGCCCCTCATGTCCCAGGTCCACTCTCCCCTTCAGGGCTACAGTTCACCATCCAATGTGACTGGGAAAAGGCAGCATGACCCTTTCCTCCTCCCCCCTGCAGACTTTTCCTCTTCCTCACAGGGTGGCGTGTTGCCTTCTCCCTGCTTAAGCCAGTTCCTTCCCGTTGTGTGGGTCATTCTGCAGGATCTGTCTTTTCTGCTTATGTCAACGAGCTAATGAAGGGTGTCAGATCCTAATCCCCTAAATTATTGAAATAAACTTCCCTCCGAGGCCGATCCCCGTAATGAAGCCAGACAGCGGGCGACGCCGGCTGCTTTGAATTCCCTGTAATTTCATAAACCCATGTTCCAGCTGCTGGGAGCAGAGCCCTAGCACATGCTTGAGGAACACGGTTTGTGCAGCCTCCTTTGACATCACAAAGGGAAATGAGCAGTGACACATTTCTAAGTAGGACTTAGAAAAATTGTCACCGTCCCATTACGTGAGGACAAGTATCCAGGGAGAAGATGCTGATTTCTGGAAAGTTATTTGAGACCATTAGAGGGAGTAGAGGCTTGGGGGGGGGGCGTGTCGGAGAAGGAGAGGCACAGAGCAGAGGTGGGAGGGAGGGGTGGTCAGCAAAGTAGGGAACGCTGTCTTCCCTGCTCGCTGCTCACGCTGCTCACGGTGGACAGAGAAAGCCCTCGCCCAGCTCCGTCCTGTCAAGAGCCACGGCCCCTCCTTCCCCGGGCCCCACTCCTGGCCATTCTGCTCTGAGAACTCTCAAAGCAGCATCGGGGAACAAGGGGCCCTAGAACACTCAGGCTCTCCCTCTCAGTCCTTCCAAGACTCCCACCAAAACACAGCTCAGAATAATAAATAACATCTGATCAGGGCTCAGAGCCCACACAGCGTTTTTACCAACATCATCACCGCTGACCCTCGTGCCAGGCCCCAGGAGGGAGCCTGGGAGAGGTTGCTGTGAGCTCCGGTGGACAGGAGGAAACCGAGTCACGGTGGGGTTAGGCTGGGCCTGCCTGGGGTCCCATGGCTCATGGCCTCCTCTCCCAGACCCCAGTCCCATTCTCTTTACACAACCCCGTGCAAGCTTCCAGCCCCTCTAGAAAGGCCCCCGCTGGCCACCCTGCCAGCCCTGGCTGTTTATAAGCTGTTCTGGGAGTGCTTTGAAGTCTCCTCCTTCGGGGCCCCTCCCTCCCACAGTCCCTACCCCCCCACCCCCGCCTCCCTCACACTCTTCTCCAGTGAGTGGCATGGACCCCATCCTCACCAGCCCCCTGGGACCAGCTGCTCACTCCCACCATCCACCAGGATACATACCCCTTTCTCTCAGAGCAGGTGCCTGAGGAGTGGAGCCAGGCCTGGGTGGGGCTGACTTTGGGGGTGTCCCCTGCCTTTCGCTCTCCCCAAAGACATCAGGTACAGCTCAGTCAGAAAGAGGGCTGGGCTCTGACTTCATCTCAGAAGAGCCCCCGCAGCCCACACCACTGCTGAAGGGCAGAGGAACCATGAACCCTTCACACCCTCTAGGGTGGGTTCAAGGCCTAGTCTAGGTACAGCTGGCAGGAAGTCACCCTGGACAGTGAACTCTGGGTGACCCTTGACCTCAGGTTCACCCTTAGCATAACAATCCCTGAGCCTCTAGGGCAGCGGTTCTCAACCTGTGGGTCGCGACCCCTTTGGGGGCTGAACGACCCTTTCACAGGGGTCGCCTAAGACCATCGGAAAACAAAAAGATATTTACATTACGATTCATAACAGTAGCAAAATTACAGTTCTAGAGTAGCAAGGAAAATAATTTGATGGTTGGGGGTCACCACAACATGAGGAACTGTATTAAGGGGGTCGCAGCATTAGGAAGGTTGAGAACCACTGCCCTAGGGCCTTGACAGGATAACACAGCTGACACCATCTTCCACATTGGTCAGGCCGCCCCCTTCTGGAGCCCTTAGCTGCGCATGTGTCGGGGTCACCCAGGGACCCACAGAGATGCCATGCCAGCCATTTCA